TGGGTTCTCAAACAAATGAATACAGGAGGTAAGTTTCTAAAGGAACTATGAATAACTGAGGTAAATTTCAAAACAAACTGATGCGCAGTGTTTGGTTGAGGGTATCAAAAAATAATTTGGTTTTGTCAACTTGAGTTCATAGTGTAAATTGGCTCTTGTACAGAGCTTCTACAGCTGATGTTTTTAACATAAGCCCTTTGTAAGAGGAAAAGATCAAGGGCTAACACTCAAAATGTCAGCTTCAAAAACTCTTCACAGTGACCAATTTACATTATCAACTCAGTTGATAAAACCAAATTATCTAGGTTCACAAACACCCTCACTGAGTTACCCACTACAGACTAAGTATATTTCATTGTACTGTTAACTCTTAGGGTAACATCACTCACCAATTTAGCTGCCGATAAACCTCCAAACACTAACCACAGAGCATAAAAAAATGAGTGGGAATGATGATAGCCAACAGTTGTTAGAAATAGACACACCACATTTCCAAACAATGCATATCCCTAAAATAAAAGATAAAAAAACAGAGTACCAGGGGACTGATTTCTCTTTTCCTTTTCAGAGCAAGGTAAAGTATCTTTGAGCAATTTCAAATGAATACTCTCATGAACTGCCTAACTCTCAAGTTCTAAAGAGAGTTTCTCTCATCTAGCTGCTTCACATTTGTCTAATAATCAATTCCAGGACTTCAGGAGCAGTGTTTTTCAGACACAAAAAGCATGTGTGAAAAACAGAATGAAACTTTAAATAAACATTTGTTCAGAGAAGGTTTTACCCTTAACACCCTAACATCAGCACCAATGCCCTCCAAATTTATCTCAGTCTGTACAATTCATTTGGTACAGGTACTGACTCAAAGAATTTGTTAAACAATCACACCTTCTTACACTGTAGGTTAGCAACCATTTCCTCATAATAATTCTTGTTACCTTAACAAATAACTCAGCAGTAATTACTGTGAGGATAAATTACATAGATGCTGGTCACTCTTAGGGGTTTATAGGGTTTAGGTCACAGCATGAATACTCACAGATAAGGAAAGAATCTGGAGAAAGGTAAGATGGGTGCTACTCATAAATGCCACAGCATAGAACATTCCAGCACCACCCAGCCAGTATCCAAAACAAACACCAAAAGCTGTACCCATGAGTGTTCCCTCTTGCTAAAAACAATAATCAGTTGAAAACATCAAGAATTAAATTAAAACCCTTTAAAAGAAAATTCCTTGAGACTTTAAGACAAATTATTAAAAACAAGTCTAACTAAGACTGTGGTTTTAAACAAAATGGGCCTCAGGATTTTTTCTTTTCAAGTGGATCATTTGTCACTGATACAATTATATCTGTTTTCCTGATGTTGGCTACCAGCAATCTTGACACTGTTTTAATAAACAATAACTTAGACCTTTTGGCTGACTTGAAGATGATTTAGAGTCAATTTTAATACTCATTGTTTATAAAACTAAAAAACAAGTATGTCACAGATATCACCCTGAAGATGCCCTGATTCACTGCTCAGAAGGCATAACAAAAAACCATTATAAGAAAAATTAAATTATGGAATAATCAAAAGCAAAAGGAGCTGTTTCAGCCCAAAAAGTATGGGGACCACTTGTGTCACATTAAAAATTTAAGCCACAGTAAAATACACAACCAAAAAGCACAGTTTGAAAATAATGCCAGTGCATATTACATCTTAGATGGTTGAGCCTAGAAGAGATTCGGTGCAATTCTGCTGAGAGTAAGTCTAGCAACACAATTTTTTCTTTTCATGGTCCGTCCCACAAGTTTGAGATGAAGAGACTCAACAGAGCTAAGCATGATTGAGGCTACAAACATAATCAATCAGTAATTCAAAATGCAGAGAACAACAAGCAAAACATTAATCTTACCACTGTGTGTCCTGATGTTTTCATACTGAAGAGAAGAATAGCAATCAGGGTGAAAACCAACATCAGTGGTCCGTACAACTCTCCAACAACTGTCTAGGGAAACAAATCAGCATGCATTGGTGTTTCCTACTACCTGAAGTCTTCTTTGCAACTGTTTTACCTGTCATCACACCACAGGCTCTTTCCCATGTACTGCAACATAAACTGGAACTACATTGAATTCCTTTCATTTTTGTGAATTTGACAATAATTAGATATTACATCAATCACATGCTGCATTCTTCTTTTTGAAAAAGCAAATAACCCATCACAAAAATTCTACTAAATTTCCTAATAAGTTTCCTGCAAAAATTTTTCCAGTCTGACAACTTTTCCAGCATAGGCAGTGACTGTACCACTTGGAATAAAAAATGTTTGTACATAGAAAAATAAAAGCCACCCTGACATTGATAAGATGGAGGAAAACAGTATGCAGACAAGCAATTCTAATAAAGAAAAATTCAACTAGGTGATTACAATGGATCCAATACCACTATCTCCAAAAGAATAATATATTACACAGTAACAAGAATTAGCAATGAGTTTGTCTGAGTGAAAGGGTGAATTATCCATCTACTACTTTCCCTAATTATATACCTGAGGGGATGCTGTGGAGGGCAACTTTGGTATCAGTGAATGGAGCAAACTAGAAAAGAAAACATACCATACACAATCATTAAAATATGCTTGACATGATTCTTCTAGGCCAAAAGATTTGATGAAACAAGGCCATTATACTAATAAATTCTAGCTCATATTATCATATCATTTCTGGGGAGTCCTAACAATCTGCTGATCAAAATAAATGAGGCAGGAGCATTGACAGGAGGTGGTATAAAGAAGTACCTATGACTAACTCATTTCATATTACTTAGAGCGTACCAGTCATGTTTCATAAAATCGCACACTAAATACATGCTAACCAAAACTATAACAAAATTCCCCAACATGATTGGTTATCACCAGCCCTACTTGAGCACTAATGGGATAGTGTACACGTCATGCTTGTAATTGGACAGTTGTCTTGCATTTTGCCATGTTAACTGTTTTTTTTTTTGTTTTTTTTTTTTTGGGGGGGGGGGGAAGATTCCAGTCATTCCTATTACCATTATAAATCTTATTTGATAACATACCGATTACGAACTTCAATTGGTTCAACATCAAAGTATGGCCTAAGTATATCAATGTTTGCATACAGATCAAAAGCTCTTTTGGCTGATTGTTTTCCAGCCTGCCAGACCTATAATAATACAAACAAAACAATAAAAATTATAATTTATTTGCCACTAAAATGACAATTTGATCAATTGTCCATACATTTTGATAGACACTGCATGTATAAAAACAACTGATTAAATAACAGCATAACAACTGATTCAATAACATTTTTATTGTTAAAACATGTAAATTGCTGAAATGCATGGAACAAACTTTATTAAAATGAACTTTTATTTCTTTAAGATTTATCAAATTTCATCTAACCATATCAATGTGAATTTTCCATTTTCATTGGTTAATCAGCAAACTGCTTCACCATACTTAAGTGGAAGACATACACAGAGAAAACTGTTCAATCTAGTTGTTTTGATTTTCCTTCATTAGACTCAACACTAACTCTCAAACCAATAAGTGCTCACTTGCATCTCTATAGGCTTCAGGTCATTTGTACAAGTACTATACACCTTTTCATATTGAGTTCTAACTCTCTCTTTGTGTTGTTCAATCACCAGAAATCTCATCGCAAGTACTTGCCATAAATATATTTGTTTTGGTTTACAACATTCACTTACAAAATACTCTACAATTATTTCTGAACACATATTTCCTTACATATCCTCCAACTTCCTGTGCCATTCTTTCTCGGATCCTTTCCATAAACTCCGTCTCTGATATTGCTTGCCGACTTGGACTTCCTTCATTACTAAGTAGACAAATAAATGGAAATGCTAAGATGTAAAGGTTAGCCATGAAGAGTTAAAATCTGTTACAATACAATCAACTTAGCAGGTCCAAGGTCCCCAATATTCTCCACTTTGAAAATTACTATCAACAGCTATTCATATCCAGGTAATGAAAACATAAAGGATACATAATTCACAGTTTCTCTTGACAATACCATAAAAAGTACTAATAAAAAAAACTCTTAATAGTGGCATAAAAGTACATGAAAAAAACAAACAAACAAACAAACAAAAAACAAACCTTTCCCCATTTCCTGGTTCTGATTGCAGGTCATCTGTATTTGCAATATCAATTACTGCAGAGGAATTATCCTGTAATTACAAAATTCAAGTAATTTATCCATCAACTTTGTTTGCTTGCATGTGATTAGTCAAATACATCACATGGTCAAATATACCCCAGCCTAAACTGCTGAATATCTAGTGGTATTCTCCAAGTAATATTCCCCAATTTCTTCCCTTACATCCACTGCAAAATTATCCCCCCCCCCTTGAGAATTGATTTACAGCAAGAGTGTTTTCAGATCTTTCAGAAGTGTCAAAAAAGATGGGTGTAAAAAAATATATATTTGCACCAATCACAGGAGATAGGGGTTTAAATGAACGGAGGGGGGGAGCTTTACAACTGAACTTGGGTGGGGGGATGAACAGATATGATATTAGATAATTATAAAGATTTTAAATCAGGATGGATTTACGAATAAATCCACAATTCAACTTAAGGCATCCCCAGTCATATACAACTCGAGCATTCTTTCGTCAAAAACTACCCATGTACCAACGATTTCAATCCTTGCTTACGTGATCGATATGCTATCGTTGCAACAATCGAGTTAGTCTTCATCGTTTTTGTTTTTGGTAGATAATTTTCATAACAGTGGGCACTATTTAATGAAAAATTATTTCGGAAAAGATAAAATAGTTCATTTTTACCTATATATATTATTAACTCACCTGTACGAGATACCAACTCGATGAACGGCTCTCTTCGCTTGAAGCAGAGCTACTTTTATCTTCGTCGCCTAGCGTCGCCATATTGGATCTAGAAACACGTAAAAGCTACAGAGGATTATGGGTGATTTTGTTTGTCGGTTTTTTTCAGGGCAATGGATTGTGGGAGACTGCCTGTTGATGATCCAAGATGGCGGCACTTCCGCAGAAGAAATATTACCGGCAAAGAGCCCACGCAAATCCTATGGCCGATCACACTCTTGAATAGTGAGTAAAATATTGAGAAAATTACGGTAGTGAAGTTTTGAGTTATGGTAAAGTCAGAATAGGCGTACAATCACTAATTCACGTTTGGGGTGCGTGGAGTGCGGTATTAAACAATTATTGGATGAGGTTTTAGTGATATCCGGTTCTTACCGAGACTTTGATTCATCAGGATATCACAAAAACCGAATCTAAATGATTATTTTACAATAAATTGAACGAAAACAATATGGTCGCGAGAGTAAGTGAAACTAGTAATTTTTTCTAAACGCGCAAAAATATACAAATCAGCAGGCAACACAAAGCGCGCAAACATGAAATGATTACCGGTGACCTTGAGTGACCTTGACACGATTATTGTATTATTTGCGGCCAGATGACGTCCCAGGCACTGATTTAAAAAATTCAATGTACACCTTCAGCCAATCAAAAAAAGACATAATGAGTTGAATGTATAATAAACAAGAATAAAAGTAGTAATTATTTTATCTATGCGATGCAGATAAGTTTTAGGTCATTCTGTAGTGTTGGAGGGGAGGGGGAGTATAATATGTTGGTTGAAAAGATAATTAGGTGTGCATGTATGTTCTCTCCTCTCATCTAGTCTAATGTCTCAGGCAGCATACTTAAGTTCCCCATTATCAGGTGAAGGGGGGGTGCCAGAGGGGGGCTATTAGGAGGTGGGGGTTGCTGGAGGGGGAATATTTCAGTGGAAGACAAACTGCTCATCTTTTAATGTACTTGCATGTTTTAGTAAGTAGATTTATTGAGGATAATATTGAAACCAGGATAAGTTCGTTTAATTGTGAGAAGATGGTATGAAAGTCACAGGGACGTATTTCAAGGCACAAGAAAAGTAGTGATTAAGGACTATTTTTAAAAACTGAATCATTGGATAGCATATTTCATGAGTTTTCAAGAGTTTCCAAGTGTTTATAATATTCTGTTTGTTCTTAAAAAATAAACTTGGGAAGATTAACTTATATTTTGAGGCCTTTCTAATAAAACAATTTTTCCTCCTACACTTGTTGGATATGAGGTGATCAGAGCCAACCTGGTCCCTACAGGCCTCCCTAGTTATCTGTCATCTCATTTCCAACGTGCCTTTTGGAATAATTGTTTATCAAACAATAAAATCCATCAGCTGCAAAATTCAGGGAACAAAATAGGGACTTGTTTGCCCTCTCCCCTTCCTTACTAGGGAGCACTGCAATACATTTTTTACATGTATCTTAAGAGTTAAGAGTTAACCAAATATATAGACAGAGATATGTGGATGAAAAGTAAATTAATTTTGAAGCACCTTAAATAGTAATATTTCATTATGGAAATGATATTAGAGGTCTCACAGGGCCTACTGTAATTTGTGAAACAAAATGAAACAGATTCCCATTTTGCAAACTACAGATTTTTATTTGTAAATTACAGATTTTGGATTAATTTTGCAAATTACTTGATTTTGGCCAAGGAACTGTATGCTTCATTTCCTGATTATTAAAAAACTGATGATTCATGCTCTTCTTACAGTCCTGTATCTCCAGATGCAATGGATTGGAGAACTCTGTTTCCTGCTTTCTTTCCTGAAAAAGATGACAATGGAGAACACACAGTTTGCAAAACCTCAAGAGTTGAATTTGCAGACATAGGGTGTGGATATGGCGGACTTTTAGGTACACATGTCCTGACTTTAACAAATAGACTCCATGTTGTTATGCATCTGTAATAGTAAGAGATCATAGGTAATGCCAAAATGTGGTAAGAACAAAACAATTAACACACAAGGTGCAGCTGAGTATGTCACTGATGTTCCAACTGTATTTTGACATCTTCTGTAATCTATTACAGTAACTGTACAGACCCGCAACAATATGGGATCTATTTGTTCTATACGATAAACAAACAAAACGTTGTAAATGGTGATGTTATCTATTCATCAGTCCCCCAATACATCATGAGTAAGAACCAATCTAAATATGTGTATAATCCAACCAATACAACTGATATTAGACCAAAGTAACTTTAAAGGGCTACAATAATGACAACCTTAGACGCACAGTCATATGTCAGAGCAATCTTAACCCTTTACACCCTTAATATCAGGAAAGATATTCTCCTTACTGTTCCTCATACCTTCCCTTTGGTGCTGACAAGGAGAATTTGTGTAACAATCAACAGCTTCTTTTGCTGCTGATAATTTTCTTTATTCTCATGACCTTACTGCATGATTCAGGAGTGATATTGTAGGGAGAAATTAGATGCTAGTCACTCTTAGGGGTCAAGGGTTAAGGGAATCTATCAAGCCCCATTTATATTTTCAAAATACTTTCATGTTTTGCAGTGGATTTATCTCCCATGTTTCCAGATACACTAATGGTTGGCATGGAAATAAGACTGAAGGTGAGAATCAGAGGATTTTGTGTGCAATTTTATTCATTCTGTGCTTGTGCACAAATGTTCTTGGGGGCATTTATGTTGTGTGAACTTGCCAATCAAAAGTGCTTGATTGATAAAACTGACCACCTTAAGGAATTGCTACTAAGAAATAGGTTTGGTGGGAGAAAGATTGTCTTTCATTCTTTATTAAAAACATTGTTTAATGAATCAAGAGAGCTGTTATAAATATTATATTAATTGATGATCAGATGTGACTCTTGTGATAACTTGAATGAACAAAGGTGAAGTAAAAATGCTACATCTCAAAAGAAAATTTTGAGGGTGATAACACTTACCAAATAAGGGAAAACAAAGAAAAAAGATAGATATATTTCCTGAAGAAATTTGATATTGCAACCAACAACCATTGCAGTTTCTGTTCAAGAACAGATTCTATAATGCAGCTATTTCTAGAGTGTGATGTCTCTATTTCCATATATTCAAGTACCATTATGTGGTTTAACAATATACACACATTAAATGCAAGTCCTTCTGCTGAACAGATTTTATTCAATTTAAAGAAATTGCTTCTTTGACCTCCATCTAAAAGCACAGACTGATTTATTCATGTATAGTTCTCTCCAAGGATCCCAGTATTCCTGAACTTCAAACCAAACTCCAAGTGCAATGAAAAATTGTTAACCAATTCTGACAATATTGTGAACATTGTTCACTGACTTGATTTTGCAATTTTCCCCGTCAATATAGCAAGGATTTTAGTAAATGTAATATTGCAAATATGTGTAATGTCAAAGGTGTAAAAAGTTGCAAGTAGCATTTATTATATTTTTAGTAATTGAATTATATTGCAAGTAGCATTCATAATCATACTGCCATTTAATAAGTAGTTTGAGTGTTAGTATTGTATGCAACATGAGTCATTGCATTGTAATGTATGAAGTGTAGCATTAGTAAATTGTTAGTAGTGTATTTTGTATTTTGTTGTAGGTAGTGTAAGCACTGTATTGTAAGTATTTAGTGTAAGTCTTAGTATTTTAAGCGGCAGAATTAATAATATTGAAGAAAAAAATACATTTCCCCACAGCTCACCCTGTGTTAGGATTCTATTTCCATCTAACACTTGGGGTACAGATAATACTTCCACAAAATGCCTTTATTTAGGTCAGTGACTATGTTAGTGACAGAGTGATGGCTTTAAGAAAAGCTAACCCAGGACAGTACCAGAACATTCATGTGATAAGGACTAATGCCATGAAGTACTTGCCCAACTATTTTCACAAGGGTCAGGTAAGTTTGTGTCTGAATCATCACATTACAGCAATAACGAGGATGTGATGTGAACCCTTTCATTCCCAAATGCCATTAGTTATTCTCCTTACTGTCTGCCGTACAATTTGTATGATGTTAGTTGGGAGAATTAGATATTAGTGATCCCCTAATTGATGCTTTTCTTTATTCTTGTCACTTTTCTGCTTGATATTGTATTGATATTGTCAAGGAGAAATTCTATCTTGGTCACTCATGGGAGTTAAAGGGTTAAAAAAATCACAGTGTGAAATTGTGGTATCATAACTTAGGTTTTCCTTTTGTACACACTTGTTCAGAATTTTTTTTGGGTTAACTAAGAATTGATATGCAAAATCAGACATGTTGACAGTACTTTCATGTTGGACTGTTCTCAGTCTTAGTTTTCACTCCACACAAGATGGTGTCATTAACTGCTCAATTTAGTCAAGTCCAAATTTGATGAAAATCATTCAAATCTCTGTGTCTGCTTTTGAATTGATATATTTTAAATCATTGACCAAAGTAATAGCTGTTTTTCTTTGAAACAAGTGACCAATTGAAATTTGTTGCTGTATTGTTTGCATCTTTTGCAGTCAGCTAAATAGAACATTTACCCCTTTCCACTCTAAAATCAGGATGCATATTCTCCCAACTGCTCTCCATATATTTCCTAAGGTGCTGGCAAGGAGAATTTGTTTAATAATCAAGAGCTTCTTTAGTTGGTGATCATTTCTTTTATTCTCGTGACCCAAATGTGTGATTCAGTGGTGATGTTGTAAGGAGAAATTAGATGCTGGTCACTCTTAGGGGGGGCAAAGGGTTAACCAATACTTAGCAAACTATTTATTTGTTTACGTCAACTTTGCAGCTCAAAAAGATGTTTTTCCTGTTTCCTGATCCTCATTTCAAGCAAAAGAAACATAAGTGGAGAATAATAAGGTCAGGAGAACGGAAAAAGGTGGCTGCATGGCTGCCATAGGAGGGGGACATCGGAGGGAGGGGGGTCTAAACACCACAATACTGCAAAAAAAAAAAGAAAAAAAATGACACACACCGCAATGTTGCAACGAAATTCGCCAGATACCATAATACTTCAATATCTAGTTGAAACTTGATGTCATGTCGACACCACTACTCTGTATGTTACATTTAGAGCAAAGAGCACGGAAATAACTATTAAGAATTTGTTCATGAACGTCAAGTCGAGTGCTTTTCACTTCCAGTCTGTTTCTGAAACAAATGGAAATTGGAAAATGCTCAGAAACGGTGGAGGATTTGGAGGATGATCTTTGATATCGTCCACAATGCTGAAAAACTGCATCGCGCTGGTTCAGAGGATACTGCAAAACCAAAAATTAATTTTACCCCAATACCGCAAAACCCAATGTCCCCCTCCCATAGTAACGTGGCATTGCAGCCACGTTTAAATCAAGAACATCCAATAGAAGAAGTAGAATCCACATGGAACACTTCCGAATTGTACTTAAAATCAAGCTTTGGAAGACTGCATCCGATAAATATTTGAATTTCTCTTCCGCAATTGAAGGACTTTGTCTTCCGTGGTTATTTTAGGTGCAGTTCAAACTTGGATTTTTCCCTCTCAAACGCCGTTAGTTTCACTGGATTAATTACCTATTTTTCTTTCAGCCCTACATTACTAGCTGAGTATGCATATGTTTTAGCGGAAGGGGTAAGTCACTTTTGAAAACATTTTTTTAGGATGTTATCGTGTTATTGGGAAAAGCCAATGTAATATTAGGTTACTTAATTAACTGTGAGCAGTAACTATTAAATGAGGTATGTTTTCTTAACACAGTAAATTTTCTAAATAGACATGTACTCTAAGTCGTTCAGGTTGTTTCTAATTAGATGTAAACTTTCGTTCAAGCCATCTTTATTTATGTTTTTATAAGGGTCTTGTTTACACAATAACTGATGTCCCTGACCTGTGTGACTGGATAAAGAAGCATTTCATGGAACACCCGTTATTTGGGGCAGTCAGTGGCGATGAGCTGGTAAAAATGAACACTAGTCAAGTAGAAAAGTGTCTCTAATGGGGAAACTCGGGGCTCTGGGGTTTTAATGAGCGAGATCGTCCGTCAATAGAGCTTAAAAACAGAGAAGCGAGTGAAAAAAATTTTAATAATAATAATTTTTAATAATTTATTACTTATATAGCGCAAAATACATGTGGATATGATCTATGATATGATTTCGCTAAAAATTTTAGGTAATGTGACCTTAGGCGCAACCCTGATTGAACGAGAGTTTCCGTTGAGTGAATTTTGACAGAAGTCAGTTTTAGATCTTTGTACATGCATTAAAGTCCCGGCCGAGGACTGCGCAGTATGCAATATATAAAGTTTGATTCAATTTTCTGCACAGGCGCAGGATCCCGTCGTAGAAAAACTGTACCAAAGCACAGAGGAGGGACAAAAAGTTACTAGAAACAAAGGAATCAAATTAGTGGCTGTATTCCGACGAATTCGAGATCCGTACCTGACGTAACTAAGGCAGTATTTCCTCACCTAAATTAACCTTAGGTGCTAAGTCCTACGCGGTCGTGTGTCTTGTTGGATCCCAAGCCTACCCGGATGGAATTGAAATGAGGAGAAATAGTTTTTGTCTCAGATTGATTACAAAGTAGGAACAGTGTCAGGGCTGCTGTCGGGTTAGAGAGAGTAATGAGACTTGTTGAACCCGAGAACTTAGGATTAATGGCCTCCGTCTGACTCTATCTTCAGTTCACCACGCTACTTCCTATCATAATTGTTCTTAACTTTTTATCCCGATTGTTTGAAGCTGTCTATGGATAAATCTCCATCCGGGTGATTGCCCTGTACGTTTTAAGAACACATCCACTGGATAGCGATTTATCCGTTGGATAGCATTATTCGACCCTTAAACAAATGGGCAATTGCGTGAGGACAGAGTGAGAAAGATGGTAACTTCCTTTTCAAAACTTTTAATATCCTTTTTGTCTAAAATGATTTTGTCGTTGTTGTTGCTGTTTTTGAAAATCATTCCTTGTGTCTCTTTTTTTCCCGAGCTAGAGCTCTTTCGTGGGTCTCTTAGTTGCTTCCATCCACAGACTAGAAATGATTCCTGTGAATGACGTTGTTTCTGAGACAAGTATCGTCACCAGAAAAGAATCCTTACGTGAAAGTTTTCCTTCGGAAATTTTTCCTTTAGTCATGTGCAGAAGTGTCGGTTAAAATGCTCTCCTAAGTCCTGTTAGCTATAGAATAGGTGAGCCCATCTATTGCGCCCTATTTCGGTTTAGATGAAAACTTCGAATTTTTTAACAGAGTGGTCATATGATAAAATGCTTTTTGACTAAGCTTGGGCGGGCCGACATGGAAAATATTTGGTTCTCGTTTAAGACGCGCGGACCGAGTGCATCATGACCACGAGCCAAAAACTTCTCCGTCCGGCCCGACCAACACAGTCAATAAGTAGTACATATTATTTAGACCCACTGTGTATCACCCGATTCCAGTTTAAGGCTACGTGCGAGTTCTCGTTTTCTGCCTGAGTTTCAGATGATGCAGTTTTCAGTTGAGTGTCCGAAATCTATAATCGCATTGGTCTTGCTTTATAAACACTCGCGTCACCATCTCGACCAATCAGAACTCTGTCACTTGAATTTTCCCGCACTTGAAGATATTTACAAGTATTCACGTATGTTCAGATTGATTCCTCGTTAAACTCACCTTTGCTCTGATTAGCTTTGGTTTCGCGAAACTTAATCTTAAAGCGCGCAGTCTTAAATAACATAACCTTACATTTTCTACACTGGCTGGCAAAAAAACCTAAAAAAAAATGCGTATTTTTAAGTCCTTCGCGTTTCCATCTCTGATTTTCATCATTGTGTTATGAACCTCCACTGTGCCCTGAAGTTGGACGGAAAGAGTGCACAAACTCGGGGTAGTCGATATACCCATCGTCATTGCGGTCCTGGTCTTCTAAGATTGTGTCGACGAAAGTTGCCATTTCGTCCTCCGCAATTTTGCTTGACTCGTGATCATCTTAAATAAAGCAAGAAAAAAAAATTACTAACTAATGCGTCCATTCAATCGAAGCTTCAACATTCCCCCTCGGGCAACCCCCGGCAATTTGAGCTTTTGAAGATTGCATTCAAATTACGCACTCCGGGAATAAAATTGTGTTCAAATACCCCAGCCAATCTTTTTGTGCAAGGCAAATCAGCGACCGAGACTTTCTACTAAGGGAATATACACAGTTTATGTTTCCTTGCTTTCTTTGCTCGTGAAAGTTAACTATTTACCTTTAAACACATCCATATTTAAAGATATAACACCTGTATTCCCCTGGAAAGACTTGACATTCCCGCTTTAAATTCCCCACCCCATCCCATTTATTCAAGATAATTATGGGCACAGACGACGGTCAAGTGCCTCTGAGTTGCCCGGGGAGAGATGTTGATGCTTCGAATTGATCGGTGCAGAAGTCCTTATCACGACTGATGCCATTTCCTGCATCTCGGAGGAGAGCATGGACAGCGCGAGAAAATTAATTTAAAGTGAAGGTGCGAACGATAAAGTCATGCGCACAGTAACTGTAACACACAACCTCGGCCTGTACCTCTTCCAGGAAGGCTGTCTGGTGTGTATGCACTAAATTCAAAGAATACAGGCGTGAATTAAACTTCAAGTTGTAATCATATCTGCGTGAAACAGATATTTACCAAAGATCCTTTCGGAAAGCGAGAGCCTGCCTAGATTGCAGATTAACTTATTCACATGCGCGTACCTTTCTCGTCCTGGGAATGGTCATGATGCGAGAGACCTTGAAACAACTCAAGACCATCCAACTTGCTGTTATTATCATAGTCATGCATCAAGAAGAACTGAACCTCTCCCTTGGTTTCCTAAAAAACCGGTAGAGGCAAAAGGTTTACTGCGAAAATTAAGGCTGAGGTACAGCAAAAGTGTTCTACATGGGAGGACGTGTGTCTTATGGTGGTTTACCAATAGAATCTGTTGATAATTGCTATGCATATGCGAATCTTCTTCAAACTTATGCAATTCGAAGAGCGCTTTCGAAAAGGTCCTTAACCGAAGGACAATTTATCTGGATAAGTGTAAACAATATGCCAAACCGTCGAAAGAAAAACGGTTTTCAAAGTCATCGGGCGTGGCGTGAACCATGGGGCTTGGTAGTTTGTAGAGTGATTCTGCGGGCGCTCATTCTCTTTAAAGATAAACAGCGTCATCTCATATTTCTGTGTGACGCATTTCACAAAAATAAACATCGTACTTACATTCAGGTATTTGATTGCTGCTTCTTCATCCATTCCCATTTGTTCCATCAGATGTTCCTTTAGATGGCTGTAAAGTACATGATGGCGACATTTCTAATTGAATTCTTTCCGTGTTTAGGTTTAAATGTTAACTGGCGTTTTTCAGCTACGTTTTGCAAAACTGAGAAAGGTATTGCCTGAGAAAACTTTCCGAAGAAACAGGTTGTAAAAAGCCCACACGAACGCTTCATCCTCTCACTTCCAAGATCTCATGGTAGTTCTCCTTACTGTCTGCCGTACAATTCTTATGCTGTGAGTTTGGAGAATTTGGTATTGGATCAACTAATAATCCTTTGATTTACATTTTTCTTTATTCTCATCACCTGTCTTCTTGAAATTGTAGCGATATTATGGGGAGAAATTCTGTTTTGGTCACTCTTGGGAGTTAAGGGGATACTCGTAAACTAAGAGAGGCGCTACGATTTGTTCATTTCCAATACGACGGCTCGTAACGACTCGTAAAACCGAGCTCTCGATCCGTAAGATCCGTACGGATCGTCTGTTATATTCACGAGTCGTATGGCTGTGCCGTCGACAACCCTCTCCGAAAAATCTTAGCTTAAAAACTGCGCTATCAGCTACATCGAAAATATGTTTCGAACCTGGCGGAAAATGAAAAGAATAGAAACTGGTCGCATAAAGTGGAAACGGTATCGGCGTCGCTATATCAATCTATTTCCGATCAGTTCATCGTCTCCGAACTTTATCCGAACCTTTGCGGATTTGACTCTCGGTCGTGACATCCGCTCAGATAGAAATTAAATCCTCATAAGACCAAATTGACACGTTTACGGATAAATTCGTTCAGTTTTCCTTTCTTCTCTGGTGTTTAGTTAGATACAGAAGGAGATCGTGCGTCGAAAGCCACAAATAAGTTCTGTTTTCATTTGTATTTACTTCTCAGGGTATTAAGATTACATAGATAAGTGCTAATTTTCCTTCGAGTTCAACTACTTCACCAGCAGGATCAACCCGCTAAATTGACTGGTGACATTGAAAACAAAACCAAGATATTGAAACTTGGAATTGAAAGGCGCACTTCCCCCTTGGTAAAAAATTGAGAAACTTGATAACAACACTTTATTCCCTTACAAAAATATTTAACAATAGAATATTACTTACTGTGAATCGTGGGCTTGAATTTCTAAAACCTCTTGCGCCCTTTTCTTGTCTTTTGCACCTTCGCAATTCGCAGCCATGACAGCAATAATGAACCAACAAAATTTAGATCTTCCACCCCACGATATGGTTGATTTTGGAGGAAACATGGTGTGTTCTTCAAAATAAAAGCTTAAAATCGTTGCGAATAAAATTATCTGAGTACATTCGTGCAATTTTTAATAAGATGAATCATCACAAGTGGTAAATATGTAAATTGGTGGCTTAAGAAAAACTGTTTCGAATTTGATTTACTCAGGTAAACAGGTGTACCGTGGAAATCAACCAATCAGTGAGCGCCTGATCACCATGATCATTCTCAATAGAATAGAAATTTCTTTGAAATAGTTCGATTTCATCCTCAAGGTGGGTATTATTACATCAGTTAAAATCTTAAGAACTGAAGATTGCCGGAAAAGCAGCGTTTGAGGCAAATAACAAGAAATAAAACGGCAGATTGCAAATAAACTGAACAATACGAGGGTCAAATTTAGTCCAGCGAGATATTTAATACCAACCAATAAAAAGCTCCTCTTTGTTAATTTCCTTAATTCGATAACCACGAAATTTAAAGGGAATATAAATTACGTTCCCTCGGAAATTACTGATGAATCGCAAGCAGGCCCAAAATGGTGTCAAGAATTATTTTTGTACATTCTTGAGCATGGGTTTTTCATGACGTTGAAAGTAATGCCACCTGGAAAATTGCTCTTTTGTGGAACAACACAAGGTTGGAAAGTTTCAGTAATGTTGGCGAAAAGCTTTTCTTATCATTTCATTTAGCTTGTTGATCATGGCAGCGAAAGAAACCTCTGTTGAGAAGTAAGTAATTTTTTCTGACTGTTGTTTTAAAAGCGTAATATTTAAAGTTCACGGAGAATTTACTACGGTAGAAATGTTCATTTGCAGACGTTTTTGAGTATACATGTCCGGCAGCCGAACACGTTTTTGAAAGTACTCCGTGTCCGGCAGTCAGAAATTCCTACAGAAACACTCCCGAAATATCCTTTCAAATATCTTAAGAGTATTAGATGTTTCATTTTAAATGTCATGCGATTTTAAAACTTAATTTGAGTTTTAAGTGGAGGAATTTTCTAAGCTTGTGCATACCGTAAAATCGCAAGCTTTTCGACACTCACTAAAAGACACTCGAATGAATCCAAACAAAGTGGATCAAAATTCCAGTATATAATGGATTAACGGACTCGTAAAAATTGTAAAGACTCAAAAACTCTTCATCATCTAGTGAATCATCGGCATAAGCCACTACTAGCACGTTTCCGACATCCTCGAAGGACAAGTGAACCACTGTCTTCAGTCTGTCCGCGAAATCTTAAAGAACAACAAGCGCTAAACTTTCGCGTCCTTTAACGGTAGTCGACCCAGTCTACCGAAGACACATCCGACCGTCGTAGCCAACCGTCGTCCGCAATCTTAAAGTTCCTAATGTGTACGCGGGCCGTCAGGAACGTCTAAACTGGAAATCTTTGAAGCAAACCGCGGCTTAGCGTCGGCTTCACGGGGAAGATTGCGATTGTAGTGAATTGTGCTTGGATTCTGAGTTGGATTTGTGGCCGCCCGGTCATTTCGGTATCCAGTCACCTCGCCACCAAGCAGACTCGCCACCAGCGAACTCGCCACCAAGGAACGATCTCGCCACCAACGTACTCGCCACCAAGCGAAGTCTTCTCGCCACCAACCACCAATAAAGAGATTAGTCGAGGACAGTAGGATGTTCGGCTGATAAGTCTGTACTCAAACTTTATAAACGTATGTTGTCGAAAGCACGTTCGAAACCGATAAGTTTGTTCGCTTGTCTTTGTCTTTGTGTCTTTGTGTCTTTATTGTTCAAAAGATAAAATTACATATCTTATGTTACATTAAAAAAAAGGATGTAAATAAGCTAAGGTGTATCTAAATAAGAAGTATATACGTGGAAACAAATACAAAAGTCTAATACAGGAAGTACACTTTTACAAAGCTACATTGTACTTAAAAACAATTCTATTAAAAAATGTATTCTTAAAACGGTTTGTGCGAATAGCGGGCATGACAGGGGATTTATTTCTCAAATTATACCTCGTGATCTTGGTCTCAGGGAAGTAGGCTCTAAGAGGATGGCTCAGGATAGTTGAAACCTTGCGACAAATTTTGTGATCTTGCGTTTTAAGTAAGTCACCTATCACTAATTTCTTAGATATGTAACTACGTTTAAAACAACGATCTAAAAACTGCTTGGCTATAGTTAGCTCTGACTCAGAGGCCCCATGCACAGATAGAGCATAAGTAATATTAGGTAGGACAATGGAATTAAATAAAACATCTACTTCTGCTTGGCTACATCCTTCTTTGCGGAGGCATCTGATAACGTATAAACATTTATTAGCTTTACCTAACTTTTCTTTTAGGTGAGTACTGAATTTGCAGTTCGGCTGAAACGTGAGACCAAGAATGGTTATTGTACTAGTCTGAGGTATGCCAAAAATACTTTTGTAGGCCTCAGCAGTGTGACCTTTTTTATACATAATAAGCTCTTTACATTTAGTAGAATTTGAATTCATTCTATTTTGGCTTGCCCACTGTAAAAACTGATTTATTAAGTCTACAGAGTGATCTTTATAATAATATACCGGAGCAATAATCGTACAGTCATCAGCGTATTTGAAACCAAGTGTCTCGTTCCCTAATTTAATTTCCAGATCGTTAAGAAATATATTGAACAAATAAGGTCCTGAAACACTACCCTGGGTTGTGCCCTTGTTAACTGTTTTCCAATTACAGACATGATTCCCGAAAATAACTCTTTGTTTTCTATCTCGCAAAAAACCTAACCACCAGTTTATGATATACGGGTTAAGTGGTAGACTCTTAAGTTTCTCAGCAAGGAGTTGATGGCTCACAGAGTCAAAGGCCTTACTGAAATCCATCGCGAACATCCGCACTGCCTTGCACTTGGGATCATCAAGAAACTTGCAGATCTTATTCTGTATAAGTAGCAGAGCATCTGTGCAGCTCCCTCCTTCTCTATACGCGAATTGACTATTCAACAGCTGTTCTTCTACCGGCCTTTGGGCGTGAATCTTATAGACTGCCTTTTCCAGGGCTCTTGCTATTACAGGGGTTACGTTGATCCCCCGGAAGTCCCCTCTTGCCACTGGAACATCAACTTTTGGCAGTGGGTTTATACTTGCCCTTTTCCACGATCTAGGCCATTGGTGCGTAGCGAGAGACAAATTCCATAGCTTAGTAATGATTGGAGTGAAGATCTCCGCATGGTCTTTCCACACCCAATACGGAATTTGGTCAGGACCAGTTGCAGTCTTCTTTAGAGTACTCAGTGAGTTCCATACATATCGTTCACTAATTTCCGGGACTTTCACCTCAGGACCAATTTCAAGTAACGCGGGCTCAACGTAATCGCCATCCGTACACAGGTCACCGAAATACTCGTTCAAATCTTGAGCGGTCTCTCTATCCAGCGAAACGTTTGTGGACCGCCGGCGTTGAGATATCAAGTCTACGTTTTTCCACCATTCTCTGCTCCCCATTTTGCCCTCCAGAAGCATCCTTCTGTTTTCGCCAATAACCTTCAACACATTTCTACTAAGCTCTCTATGCTTATTAGTGCGTAAAACAGAGATGCGAGACTTGCTACGTAGCATGTATTTAACTAGCGGTGTCATCCAACTTGGATCACGGGACGAAAGGGAAACCGTTCGTAAAGGCATGCACCAGTTAATATTTGACAGGATCTTCAATTCTAAGATGTTCACAGCTGTTTCGATACTATCCGCCTCCAAAACATCATCCCAGCATTCTGATGCGAGGGCAAGGTAAAGAGCTTGCTTCCTATGCTCACGACAATCCCTAAATTGCACTTTCTTACGAATAGGCTTGAGTTTCTTGCCCGCTGGAACTATAAATCCAATGTGATCCGTCTTAATCAGCATCTTTATAGATAAAGCTTTTCCGAAGAGCTCTGGCCTATTTGTAAGACAATTATTGTCTGTACTCAAACTTTATAAAAGTATGTTGTCGAAAGCACGTTCGAAACCGATAAGTTTGTTCGCTTGTCTGTACTCAAACTTTATAAACATATGTTGTCGAAAGCACGTTCGAAACCGATAAGTTTGTTCGCTTGTCTGTACTCAAACTTTATAAACGTATGTTGTCGAAAGCACGTTCGAAACCGGTAAGTTTAGTTTTAATACAACTGCTATCGAGTTTCATTTCATCACTTATTTCTTCCCATGAAGTTTCATTTTCTCTCAAGTAAGTTTTTATTCCTCGCATCGAGTTTTGCAATTTCTCCTCGCTTACGTGCAAAAGACAAACACGATACGTTTCGATGTCAATGAGTTAGGAACGGAACACATCTAACACGTCGCTGAAGGTCATAATTTAAATACAGACAAGCGCACAAACGTATCGGCTGATTTGAATTGTGCTCGTTCGAACATCCTACTCTCCTCGACTACTTTATTCTAGTTTATCTCTTTATTGGTGGTTGGTGGCGAGAAGACTTCGCTTGGTGGCGAGTACGTTGGTGGCGAGATCGTTCCTTGGTGGCGAGTTCGCTGGTGGCGAGTCTGCTTGGTGGCGAGGTGACCGGTAACCGTCATTTCAAGCTTGGGAGTGTGCAGCCTTGGGCTTTTCTTATGTATGTAGAAAACCTCGAAATAGATAACTGGCTGAAATGGGTTCCCTTCAACGTAGTAAGCCCTCAGATTACAAGAAATGCACTGTGGAAGTAAGGTGAGGTATTTTTTGTGAGAATTTGACCTAGAATGGTAAAATTTCCGCACAGCCCCATACTATATTATACATTCAGTTCTTGAATAGAGGAAACAGTGACAAAAACAGTACATTGCCATTGGGAAAACAGATTTGTTTTACAATAGTATGGGGCTGTGCGGAAATTTTACCCTTTTTTTTTATTCCTTAGAGCGATCTTAAATAGCCCCATACAAACTCTTATAATTTCGCCATGACTTTTATTTCGTAAGATGATCATCTCACAGCTGGAGCTTGAGTCGCCTGTGCACGCAGCGGCTTTGGTTGCGTTTTTTTCACGCATCGAAAGGCAGTTTACAAGTGAAAATTTTCACACAAAAAGAAAAAAAACATTATCAACAACAACAAATTTAAATTCACCGTTGTTAACGCTCTATTTCCGGCCCGA